GTGAAAGTTATTTTTTTTTACTTCAAATTAACTGCAAACTAGTACAACCAATATGGAAAGTAATATTGAGATATCTCAAAGAACTAAAAGTAGTAATACTATTGGATCCAGCAATCCCAGTACTGGGCATCTGCCTAAGGAAAAAAAGGACATTGTATTATAAAGACATTCTCCTAATAGAAGTATCACAAGAATGGAAAAACAAGCACCACATATACCCACCATCTACTTGGTACTAATTGATCAGCACTTATGTGTACCTATGGAAGTAACATTCATGGGGTGTCAGGAAGGTTGGAGGGGGAGGAGGAGATAGGTATATTCATACCTACTAGGTGCATTGCACACTGTCTGGGGGGTGGGCATGCTTGTAGCTCTGATTTGGAGAATATATGTAACCTAAATATTTGTACTCCTGTAATATTCTGAAATAATAATAATAATAATGAACCAAAAGCAGACACAGAATTATCCTTGCTATACCATTAAGTGGAAACAAGATGAGTAAAACTCAGATAGATTGGTTGATGGGAGTTGTTCAAGGTCATCCACCTAGTTGAAAAGCATCACAGAGAATTCTGGGGACTCTCTTCTTGGGCAAAGCTGTTCCTCAGTGGTTCTACAGATGGACCCATAATGCTGCTATGAACAATCAAGTACATGTTTTTTGTGCAAATATTTTTATATTTTTCTTGGGTATATATTAATACCTAGCAGTGGAAATGCTGGATAATGTGGTAACTCTTTGTTTAAACACTTGCACTGCTGCACTGTTTTCCAAACATGCCACACCTTTTCCATTTCTACCAGCAGAGTCAATATTCTATTTTACTCCCACCCAGGAAATGAGAAGGACAAACTTCACAGTGAGGGGGTGTTCAGAGGAGCTCAGGATGTATGAAAATTAATCCAAGGGAGCTCTGAGATGTTCATTAAATGCTTCTTAAAGGTTTCATCATCTTACCAAACCTGGGTACATGTGTTTTTATCCCTGGTGGATGCCAACTCACTCCCAAGGTTGCTCAGAGGAAAGGACGGGCTGTGGAGATAGAA